GGGGGGGGGCGGGTCAGAGAGGGCACGAACAGGGCAAGCTTGGCAATTGCTCTCTCCAGGGTGGGACATCCCTGTGAAGAAAAACATGACCCTGCCCTTTCCGATTGGTGCTGACTTCGGCAAACCACTTTCCACCCACAACGAGAGCAAAAACTGTCAGCCAAGGCCGAACAGGTGAGATTCAGGAAAGCTGTTTGACAAGACAATCCCAACGCGGGCTAAGGAACGCATATGCATGCGCTACCGGCCGCCGAGTTCCATGTTAAACCGTTGCAAAATAAACCAGGGCCGATCAACCGGCTGTGCCCCGATGTCCGAGGGGGGGGTTGAGGTGGTGCCTCTGACACCCTATGCAAGCCAGTCACGTGGCGTGACGGAAGCAGCGTGTTCAATAGCAAGGAAGTGTGTTTTACAACCCAAGGCAGCATGTTGTACATAGCAAGGCAGCGCGATGTACATTGCAAGGGCAGCGTGCTGCACATTGCAAAGGAAGGCCGCTGCACATTGCAAAGGAAGGCCGCTGCACATTGCAAAGGAAGGCCGCTGCACATTGCAAAGGCAGGGTGTTGTAGATAGCAAAGGCAGCGCGCTATCCGTAGCAAAAGGCAGTGCGCTGTCCATAGCAAAGGCAGCGCGCTGTACATGGCAAACGCAGCGTGCTGCACATAGCACCGCGTAGTCCATTATTCGCACGTGCGCACACCTGAGCCTTGCGGTTCCCCGAGGTCTCCGCCTGTTGTTTCTCCAGCTCGATGTCGTACACCCTTGAGCGTAGCAGCTTCATCGCAACCTCCCTGTTCTTAAGCTGGCTCCGCTCTTGCGTACAGAAGATGCGGATCCCCGTTGGCTTGTGAAAGAGATCCACGGCGGACTCGACCTGGTTTGGGTTTGATCGGGGCGCGATGGATGGGAGGGGAGGGGTTCACACCGTGCTCATGGAGACTGTTTTTGTTAGGCCACAATCCCTCTCGTCCCCGACGCAATTCCCCCGATTCCCCTTCACGAGAAAAGACGGAGGCGTCGGGATTTCAAGCACTAGGAAGGCATTTTGTTGCACCAGAACAGGGAGGGGGGGGGGGGGGGGGGNGGGGGGGGGGGGGGGGGGGGGGGGTGCCGTGAGGAAAAACGGGGCCTCGGCGTGAAGGGTGACCTGAATTCCAAGAACAGCTTGTGACGGCGGACTTCGTCGTTGCCGCCCTTCTTTTCGGCTACCGACACCACGGCTACTGACGTAGCTTTCACTTGTCCATATTCAACGGCATCTTTCACACCACCACCACCACCACCACACCACCACCACCACACCACCACCACCACCACACCACCACCACCACCACCACACCACCACCACCACACCACCACCACCACCACACCACCACCACCACCACCACACCACCACCACCACACCACCACCACCACCACACCACCACCACCACCACCACACCACCACCACCACACCACCACCACCACCACACCACCACCACCACCACCACACCACCACCACCACACCACCACCACCACCACCACCACCACCAGCAGGACAAGATGCACAGATCGCGACTGTCCACATACAACGAACGAACGGCATCCCTCCACCTCCACCAACACCTCCACAAGACTCACGCCACTGAGATCGACCGCAATCCTCTTGGTGCCTACCTTGTTGACGTTCTGCCCGCCCGACCCCCCCGAGCGGGCCGTCTTGATCTCGATGTCCTCGGGGCGGATGTTGACAGCAACCTCGTCCACCTCGGGCATGATCGCCACGGTGGCCGTGCTGGTGTGTACCCGCCCCTGGGTCTCGGTAGCCGGCACTCGCTGCAGGGGGTGGGGGGGGTACTCAGGTAAACGCATGCCGTCGTTGTTAGGCCTTTGCATCCCTACAACGCTGGTACGGAGTGATGTGCTGTCAACGCATGCCGGAGTCGCCGTTAGACAATTGGCCTCGCATCACTGCAATGTTGGAACGGAAGAGCGATACGCTGTAAAAGCATGGCGTAGTCGTTAGACCTTTGCATCCCTACAATGCCGGGACGGAGGGGCGATTGCTGCCGGGTTCTCACCGGTCTAGGTCATCTACGTTTCACGAGAATGAAGCTGGTCATCATCCTTGCGTGTGCTGTGCCAAAGGTTTTGATATTCGGTTTTGCGGGGGGAGGGGCGGGGGGGGGCACCCATTTGTGGCCTTCCCATCGGAGCACTGTTAACTATTCGTCCCTTCTCCCAAGAGACATGCCACCAACAGTCGGATGCCCTCAACGTCTCTGGCTACACTTTAACGGTCTGCATTCTTGCTTATCGTGCCCAAATACCTTCCTGCATTTGGGCCCGACGCTTGTCTCCAGGCAAAGCGACCGTGGAAACAAACTCCCATGCGGTGTGCGCGCGGTAACGTACCACATCGTAAATAGATGCCGAACATCGGTGCAAGAAAAAGCACGCACCTGTACGCGGTGGACCCCCGCCTCGTACTTGAGCTTGCTGTAGACCTTGTCCCCGCTCACCTCCGCGATCACGGTGCGGAACCCCCCCGCCTCAACCATGGCGCTCTCGATGACCTTAAGGCTCCACCCCTGGTGATCAATCGCGCGGAGATGGATAAAAAGGACTACGAGAGTACCATAATACCGGTAGGTGCGGTGAGTGATATCGGAAAATTAGGTCAAGAGCGTAAAATAGGACAGCAATAACACGAGTTGGAGAGTCTCCGTGCATTTATTCGACGGGACGGACGGGATGGGGGCTTGCGGGTACTCGGCAGCTTTATGGTCGGTCGATGACTACCGCTGTCGTTCTGTCAACGACGTCACAATCGATGTATTGTGGTACCTACGGATCGAGCACACAATAAATAAAGCGGCTTTCATCGGCATCGGCTCGCGGACATCAATAGACACACGAGTGCCAGAAACGATAATACAGAAGAGCCGACCAACCTGCAAACAGCAGTGCATGGCGACGCACGCTCGCTTCTATCTCAAGCTATGCATGAGAGGTGGCGCGAAATGCAAGTATGCCAGAAAAAACAGAAAAAACGAAAGGCCGTGGAAGAGACAAGAATATACGACACTTCGTAGAGAGCATCAACAAAGCGGCGCTTCCGGACAGAAAGGGCGGCGACAACCCTCGCTCACCACTTTTGCGGCGAAATGGGGTTTCAAGCCTCGCACGGCCCAATGCCGACTAGGCCTGGATCTGCAGCTGCCAATGGGTGCAGGTCCTACAGCAGACACACACGCCAAGAGGTACAGACAGATCTCGACCACTTTTTTTTTTTCTCCCATCATTGGATTTTGTCGTCTGCCCCTCTGGCCCCTATCCTCCCCTTCTACTAGCTAGACGGTCCAACCGGGGTCACATAGGAGGGGGGGGTTGGACCCCCTCCTGCGGTTCCTGCCTGAGATATGTTTATCGCGAGAAGGGCACAGCAATCTCTTCCCTCGCGACATATGCAGTCGATCAAGTTTACTAACAACGCGCTTTGCAGCGCGTCGCTTTCAACGGAGACCAGGATTTAATTAGTGAGAACAAACCCACTCTGTCGGGACTCGAACCCATGACCTGGCCCTTAGCAGGCTGCGAGGTTACCCACTAGACCACCGGGGCGACCGGTTGTTCTACTGGCACTATAGCACGACCTGGAGACCGGACACACGCCGCACCACGCACCTGCTCGAGCGCGTACTTCTTGTACACTCCCAGAAGTTCTGCCGCCCACAGAGCCGCCTCGTCGCCGCCCGTACCGGCGCGGATCTCGAGCATGACGTTGCGGTTGTCGTTCGGGTCCGTGGGCAAGAGAAGGAGCTTCATCTTGGTCTCGAGTGCCTCCATTACCTCCTCCAGATCGCGGATCTTTTTGTTATGTATATATTTTTGCGTTTGTCCGTGCAGCGCGACGGATGGGTCCGGGTTATGTGACGCAGACATGAACGAGAAAAGCGCGACAGGCAAACCATGTGGCAAAGGTTAGTGACATACACACACAATTAAACAGACATGCAGCAGACAGATATTTAGACAGAGAGACAGACAGACATACAGTAGACAGATATTCAGACAGAGACACCGAAACAGAAAGAAAGTACATAAGAGAGGGACACACACAGAAGCACGGGTACGTGAGAAATAAATGGACAAAGCAAGAATAACCTTCTTAATCCATACTTCTACATGACATGTTGCTGCATTGATAAGACTGAGGTCCTATAAAAAATTCCACTTGTTGCAACAACGGCGAATTCGGGTCGCCGGAACCGTTTGCACACCCACCTCCTCCCTCGCCATCTCCTTCATCTCTGCGTCGCCCCCCGCGCCGGACGACTCCGTAAACATTTCCTTCGCTCCTTCGAGATCTTCCGCTGCCTTTGTGTACTCGGCGTAGCAGTTCACGATCTGCACACGATGCCAAGCAAAAGGGAGTGGGTGGTAGAGTTCAGAATACGTTGTTTTGGGGGCTGAGAATGCGTGCCAAGAATGAACAAGCTGCATCCAGAACGATGCGTCGTTGCGATGAAAAGCTGTGCGGACGAGCCTTCACCTTGGTATCCAGACACGAGTTGATTTTTCCCCCCACGCATGACACACAGGGGCAGACGATCAGTCCCCACCAGGAATAACACAAACAACACGTCCCCCCCGGTGTTTGCCATCGGGATTGGGCTTTCGTCGCTTGGCAACGACGTTGTAAAACAAGCCGCCCCCCCCGGTGTTTGCCATCGGGATTGGGTTTTCGTCGCTTGGCAACGACGTTGTAAAACAAGCCAATTCACTTCGTGAGCTCGGCAACCAGGTCACCGTTTTTTTTTACCTCCGGTTTTTATTTTTGGCGGTAACCATAATGGTGGTCGAGTGGATCATGTTGTGCGGGGTGGAGAACCCTCACTCCGCGCAAGGGGGATGATCGCACCACGTTGTGTTAAAATGGTCAAGCACCCTCGAGGCAGTTACACAGTGCTTACAACTGTCTCTGGAAGTGAAAGCACCAGAAAATAAATTAAGTCATACGCAGCTGTCATCCGTACGCAAGGAAGTAAGCACAAGATGCCGAACACCCTTAGCAGGATGCAGCGCACCCTTCATGCGACTCGCCGAATATCTCACGGCGCTTCGCGCTTGGTGATGTGAGAGCCTGGTCCGGTGAGAACCCGGCGTGCTCCGTCCCGGCTTTGTAGGGATGCGAGGTCAATGGTCTAACGACTACGGCATGCACGACTATGAGTACACCCCCCCCGTAGGCAAAGAGCACACCGGTAGCAGTGCCCAGCTTCGACCTAGAGTTTGATGGCGTGGATGAAGGGGGGGAATGCCATGGGTACCCTTACCCTTTGGTAGAGAACACAGGACAAAAAGCAGCAGCGGGGGGTTGCTTCGAAACAGCGGTGGCTTGAGAAGAACAACCGCAGAGTTAGCAGCTCCCTACACGATCGGGTCGGCGCAGCGTAGAGCATTCTTTCGCTCTCTGTCGATATTGCGTGTCTTCCAAGACTATGCCCGGAGTGAGCGGCCATGTCTGAGCGAGGAAGGATTCTGTACCCTAGCACGTCGCCCACAATGCCAAAGGAGGCCTCGTCACAACGGGCATGTATGAAACCGCGTCATGTTCACCAAACAAACGCTCACACAAGAACATTCAAACAAGAACGTGTTTTGACGTACCGGTTAGTCTGGGACGGTCTGCTCCGTCCCGTTCTTGTTCGTGCAAAGCTTTCGGTGTCAACCATGAGAGTGCTATGAATCTTAACGGCGGTAGGTCAGTCTGCTTTAACACAGTACAGTGCGTGGGCTGTTTCCCTGGCACATGCTTGCCACAACAAAGCTGTTTGTCTTGACATATTTGCCACAACGGTCCTATGACCGAACGCCGAAGGACAAGGGATTCGTTGGAACTCATCCATTGCCTTGGGGCATTGCTTTGTCCCTTGTATGCCTGATTGCCTTTACTCCCGTCTGTAAGTTCATGCAAACTGCATCTTCCAATACCGGCCCGCTACCGCTCTCGATTGGTTCTTCCGCCTTTATTTGTGAAGTAAATCATCTGGAGTAGGTAGGCACATGCCATTATGTGTTTACCTCTTCTACGCTGGCCCGCTCCTGAGAAACCTCCATGATCAGCTTGGGGTTCGCGAGCACGTCCGGGTCGCCCAAGCGCTCGGTCAGCTCGTTGAACGTCCGGTCTATCCCGGACAGCTGCTCCAGCACGAAGTCATCCAAGGCCTTTGACGGCGGTCGGTGGCACCGGTAAACGTAATTTCGCGCAGAGGGATGCCAATCACAACAATACCGGTGGGTGAGTGGAGGGCGGGCGCGTGGTCGTAACTTGTATCTAGAATTGATAGACTTCCCTGTGTTCTTCTGTAGATTTTCAATAAATATCGAGCAGAGGGACGTCAATCACACAGCAACGGCTGGTGAGTGGAGGGCGGGGGCATCTTCGTAAATATCGGGTAGAGGGACGTCAATCACACAGCAACGGCTGGTGAGTGGAGGGCGGGGGCATCTTCGTAAATATCGGGTAGAGGGACGTCAATCACACAGCAACGGCTGGTGAGTGGAGGGCGGGGGCATAGTAGTAAGGGGTCGATCGACGATTTAGAGCAGGAAACGTGCTTTTTCGGTTGCGCGACTCAGCTGAAGAGGAAGCACGGGGCAAGACCCACGGCAATTCCACGGACGTTGCTATTCCAGTTTTGAACGCCCACCGCTGCTGGCGTTTGTGCCGTGTACATCTTTGTCCTTAATCGAGGGGAAAACTATTCATGGCATCTAGAACTGCGGCTACAAAAAAAAAAAAAACGTTGCGTGTACAAAGGGTGTGTGCCCGACACGAGATAAGGTGCCCCAAGCCTTATATACTGACATGTGGTGCCCACATACCCCCCCGGATACGAGCGAGCCCAAGCCTTATATACTGACATGTGGTGCCCACATACCTCCCCGGATACGAGCGAGCGGACAGCTCAGCATCGTAGACAAATACGCGGGTACCACGACGCACCCCCCGTAGCATGTACGGTAACCGGAACCCGACCGGCTGGCGGCGGACAAAAAACCACCCATTTTCACGTGCCCGGATTCGAACCCGGGTTTTTGACAGTGCAAGAATGACATCCTGCCGCTGACGCCACTTGTAAAAAGGGTGTCTGCCCGACACGAGGTAAGGTGCCCCAAGCCTTATATACTGACATGTGGTGCCCACATTCGCTCCATTCCCGTTTCCGTCCACTCCTACTGCTTGCGATGGAGACATGGGCCACTCGTTTTCCCAGTCTAGCCAGAAAGAGACGAGACTATCGACTTATGTTGGACATCGAACGACCGACGTTTCCTTCGCTCCAAAGAGGCGATATTCCGCCGCGATGCAGAGTGACTGGCCGCCCTACGCTACTGGTACAGCTGGGTGCCAGAGCAAGCAAGCTTCGTACCTGAAGACGGAGTTCGGTACAGCTGGTGCTGCTGCTGCCGTTTCACCAGGCGAAGTCAATTCCCCGCCCCGAGTAAGGACGCGAGACCGAATCAATTGGGAACGCCGTCACCCCAAAGACCCATGGAGCACTGCATTAGCAACATGCTTTCTGCCAAATGTGAGGTGCACCACCTGGGCTGCAGATTGGCCAAAATGTCATATATGATGCTACCGACCTCTGGATGGAGAATAGCACAGCAGTTGAACATGTGCGTTGAAACAGCAGCTCATGTCATCCAGGATGGTGGTACAACAGCAGTGGTACAGCGGCTTGTACTCCAAGTGGTCGTGGTGATACGAATTACCAAGAGGTGTCACCCACAGCAGCAGTTGCTCCCAGCAGCTGGTCACCACTACACACCTTTGCCACCGCCTCATTGCCAGCTTAGACGGTCGACGGTGCCTGTGAGAGTGCGGGTTCGCCCTGCTGAGAGCAACATGACACCAACCTGCCGACTACTGCTGTGGACCTCCTTCCTGCTGCAGAGGGATTTCCCGCGAGCAAAGACGTCCCCCCACTCACCATTCCCAAGGCTCTCGAACCCCTCGACGACGTGGCAGCGGGTCGTCGTTGGCTCCCCATCGCCCCTAGCTGGTGTTGGTGTTGCTGCTGACTACGTTGTTGTTGCCGCCGCAGCTGATGTACCTTGGGGAGGGAGTAGATGAAACCCAACGCCTCAGCCAGAGCACATGACAGGCATAATAATCTCGCTGACCTTCTCGTGGACGACATTTTCCCCAGTAGCAGCGCCTTAACAGCGCAGTCTCGCTGCTGCCCGTTACGATGATGTGTCGTGTGTGCGGTGGTCTCTCATATGCTCCCGTATGAGGAGGCACACAGACAGTACAATATCATCTCACCATGTACACATAAAGTTGACAAAATACCCTTCGTGTGCCCCCTTGAACCGGGCCGCCGGGCTCGCTGTCGCTCAACATGACAACTCACCACGTGTTCTATCTCTGCCAACAAACCACCACCTCGTGCTGCCTGTAAGCGGAGCGTCGCTTTGTTACCACTAGTCCACCCTGGTGAGCACAGACCTGGTCTCAGTCGAACATGCGGCCGACCGGTGGTATCTCAACAGGTGTAGGTGGCACCGCTGCTGCTGTGCACGTGCGTAGTAGCGGTTGCAGCAGCGGCCCATCACCACCGCCGTACGCATGGGTGCAGTCCTGCGGCGGAAGCGCGCTCCCAGGAACCGGCGCACGAGACGTGAGGGCTGACGCTAAGCTCTCGGTGAGGGCTACTAGTGTGGAGATGCGATCGCCGTGGATGATGGCAGCATCACCCGCCGCCGAGGGGCCTGCGGCTGCCACGGCCGCTTCATGTGTTGCCGGCGGCCGCAACAGCAGCAGCAGGCGACTACGGCGACAACGGTCGATCGCTCCATGCTCGGCGCTGGCGTACGACGTGGGCGAGAAGCGCGTGCTGTCGGACGACGCGCGGGACGCCCTGGCCCAGGGCGACGTGTTCAGGGCCCTGCTCCTGCTGGAGGACGACCCGGCTTGCAACGTCGAAACGACCGAAGCGCCATCATCAACAGCAACAGCAACAATAATAGACGACCAGCAGCTACCGGCAGCGGCGGCAGCGTCCGCGGCAGCAGCAGCGGCGGCGGCGGCGGCGGCGGGGATCGGCCCCAGCCCCAGAGCGGCCCACGCGAGGCTCATCCAGCTCCTGTGGAAAGCCGGGCACGAGAGGGAGGCCCTGGAGACGTTCGACCTTGCCGCCGCTCGCGCCCGCGAGGCCGCGACGGCGGCGGCGGCGACGTCGGCCAGTTCATGGCAGCCGCCGCCGCCGCCGCCGCCGCAGCAGCAGCAGCAGCAGGCACGACCTTTTCCCAACGGCGAGCAGCAGGCGGCGTCAGCCAACGCCGACGCTGATGCCGCCGCCGCAGAGGCAGCAGCGCTGTCGGCCACGCAGCAGCTCCGACGTACCGCCGCCGCCGCCAGGCACGGGACCGGCGTCCCCGGGCTCTACCTGGAGCTCGACCCGGACACATGCCACGGGATCATGCGCCGGAAGCTGGAGGCGCAGGACTACCTGGGTGTGATCGAGGTCATGCGGGCGTCGTCCCGCGTGCCCCCTCGTCTTTCGGGAGGGGCTGCTGCTGTTGCAAAGCAGGTTGGACGGGGCGACGGCGGAGTAGGGTGGGCGCCTACGGAAGAGACGTACGGCCTGGCGCTGGAGGCGTGCGGGAAGGTGCGCAAAGATCGCCAATGCGCCGCTGCTTCTTGCTTGTCCATGCCGCGTCGGTGCCATCCTTATAGCAACTCGTGATGTGTCTGTAGATCAAGTGCCGAGCTAACAGCAACTCGTGTGCATGTACATCTAAGTTTTTCTTCACAACACTACCACCATCGCCGGTGGCATGACTGTAGGCGTTTGTTCCCAGATACTTGTATTCTGCCCTTGTTTGGACCATGGCCTCTATTCCTCCAGGCTTTCGTTTGTGCAGCTGCCATTGAAATCGTCCTTGCTCCCCTCCTCATCCCCCCCTCCCCCCGTCCTCTCCCCTCTAATCTGCACCCTACCCCTTCACCCCCCCCCTNNNNCCCCGCCCCCGGGCGGACGAAAAGGTTCGAAAGCGGTGGGGCTTCAAGGCGGCCCTGTTCCTGATCCAGGAGATGCGCAACGCCAATCTGGAGATCTCCCTGGTGCACTACCGGGGGGCGGTGACGGCGTGCGCGCTCACGAGGCAGCTGTCCGGGGTGCTCCCCCTGCTGGACGAGATGAGGGATCGCGGCGTCGCCGCGGACGTGGCGACCTACGACGCGGCGATCTCGTCGTGCACCACCAAGAACGTGCGTACATGGATGGGAAGA